AGTATTTGTTTAGTTTTGATAAGCGATTTTCAACACAATCGATTCGTTTAGTTTGGAGAAAACGTTCTTATTTTTATTCAATGTATGCTTTAATTTGATCATTTCTGTTTGAGACAATTATCTCATTCTCTTCGCTCTATGACTAATGAAAAATTAAAGAAAAGACATAATCTTTTTTATCTTATTTTTTTGTCACAAGAAAGATATCTTTAAATTGCATATACATTAATTTCTATTCGTATGTTAATTTGTGAAACAAGTACTTTTTTTTGTCCGTGACATCGGTGTACTTAATTACATAAGAGATTATTTGCTAGAAATACAACAAAAAACTATAATATACAAACTAACCAAAATTCTTTTTTTTCTCTCACTATCTCTTTCTAAAATTTTTTTAGATTTCTAATTATAGTTTCTTTTGTTATTACTGTAAATGATCCATTACATAAAATAATAGTACTATAACAAAAGAATCAATGTTGCATGTTTTTCGCTATCTTCGTAAATACTAAAAAGTATTACTCGCTATCGTATTATAAAAAAAAATTATATCAATTTTTGCGTAAATTTGTATATTCTTTTTCGTAATCGATTAATATGATGTATTATTCAAAGCAATTGTTATTGGTTAGCTTTCATTTTCATATACAACATTTGGATGCAAATGGAGCACATGTTATTATTTGTTTTGTCAACTTGGTATTCGTGTTTGGATGCTATATTAGGATATAAATAAATGGGAAATTAGCAAATATAACAAAAAAAAAATTATAATTAAAAATCTAATCAAATTCCCTAAATTCTATGGTTATCATTTAGCCACATTAGTCAATTTTTGTTAGTTGCCTAATTATTAATTTTTTTTTTGGTTATTTGGCAAATTAATCCTAAATAAATATTAATATAAAAAAATTATAGAATTTATATACAAAATTTAAACTTGACAAAATAACAAACGCTCTATGAAATTTCACTTAACTACTAAAACGTTTTGATAGAGTCATGTAGTTTCATATTTTAAGAACTCACTATTATATTTTCACATTTTTATATCGAAATCAAGAACTTTGAAGTAACGGAACCATATTTTGTCACAAAACTATGGCTTTTGGTTTTGGATGCATCATCTCGAATTCTCGATGTTTATTAAATATGGTGGATACAACTAGGCCTAGATACAACATCTAGATAGACAATTCATATGTATATATAAAAAAGCATCTAGATAGGCAAACCATGAGACCTTTTTTCATTTCTGATCAAAGCAAACCATGAGACCAACTTTGATTTTTTTCATTATCAAATTCAAAGCTGTTAAAGAAAACCGAACCGAACAATTTTTCAAACGATCACAATCCAACTAAAATTAAATTGGTTTCCATTTCGACCAAACAGTAATAAAAATTGGAAGTAAACCGAACCGAATCGTCCCTATGAAACCGAATGGCCAAAAACCTTCCTCTTCTACAATCCAGATTCTGACACCAAAATCCAAAAACCCTAAACATTTTCTGTTTTTCTCTACTCAGATTCTCTCCGGTTACCGATAGAATTCATCATGACGCACATTTCTGCCTCCAACTACCTCTCTTTCTAGCTTTCTTCGTTTGTATCGTTCTCATTTGTATAGTAGTCTTTTGAGTTTTTTAGTAGTTGTTGGGTAGTCTACGAAACGATTAAAATGGATCCAATTGCTTCTGTGTTGGAGAAAGTGAAGGGCTTTGCGAAATCGAGCCAGGATTTAATCTCCCGCCAATTCGGCCTTCAAGAGAATCCTTCACGTCAAAATCCGGTATCTTTCATACATTCCCTGTACTTGCTTGAAATGTCTGTAATGGGTTAAACGAAAGTAATGATTTTGATGTAAATATATACTTGCTGGATTAGCAAATCCAACTCTATTTCTGTAATGTGATTCATAAAAATGTGATCTTTTTCTTCACCTTATGAAAATTGGGTTTGGTTGGGAATTATGCTCAGATTGATATCTTGAAGCGATTACAAAGAGAAGCATTCTCGGATTTGATGAAACTTAGAGATAGACAAGAGAAAGTGGAGCGGATAATTTCGTCGTATAAACTATCGAAAGGAGGTCCTTTTCAAGAGACTAGCACTCATGTGAAGGGTGAGGTTGATGTGCTTGGAGCAATGTTGATGATTGGAAACACTGACGATGAGAGTTTGGATGGACTCGATAGAGAAGGACCGAGACCTGGATTGCTTTCTAGGTTTCTGTTTGAAACGAGCCTTAGGGAGACGGATAAGCTCGTGGCTGAGCTCGTTGCTGGATACAAAGGGGAAGGAAATTACAGTGATGTTGGAGAGAACCAGCTTTCTTTAGCCAAAGTCTTCTACAAGGCAGAGATTAATGATTGGTTCTCTGTGGTTGCTATTCCCGTTGGGGCTCATTTCAGAGACATTGATTCTGATGTAGTGTCTTCTTACCAGGTAATCCACCAATTGTTGCAGATTTTGTCTCTATACTGTATATGGTTTCTTTGTTGCTTACTTTTATCTCTGTCAATGGCATGTTAAATGCTTCTTCTGTACCCATTTTTCTCATCCATATTGTTGTTGATGAAGCGACACATATAACTACCTCCGTCTTGCAGGGAATGAATCTTACAGAAGTTTCTGAACTTGGACCACCTCTTTTAAACCAACACAATGGTAGTGCCATAGGTTTAACAGTCAGAAAGTCGAACGTTGCAGCTTCACTGGCCCAATCCATCTATAACCTTGAAGTTGAAGAGGATTTGAATGCAAAGAATCGTTGTTTCAGAACTTTTGGTCAAGTAACCTGCCACATTCTGAGAGGTGTAAATCTATCTCTACTGGGCTGTCACCAAATTTTAACACCATCTAACAACCTCCATTCTTCCGGAGCCATTACAGTTCCAGTAAGTTTCCTAAGGCGCCGTATTGCTATGGAGCCTGAATCATCAGCACCGCCTCTGGAGATTAGCAGAAGAATGGATCATGTGTCGTCTAGTTCCATTGCGTTGAGGCTAGACTCTCTACTGGAAGAGTCTACGAGAATTGGTGGATGGATTGAAATGCAGAACTCAAGAGAGAAACAAGTAAAATGGTCAGTGTCAATTACAGACAAACCAGAGGATGAAGTGGGCTGGGGCATGAGCGTTGGGGGAGTCGTCGATGGTTCCAGAAATCATGATCGGTTTCATGTGGAATCGTATCTGAAATTCAACATAGGCAATCGGTTTAGCTTAAGTCCAGGTCTTGTTTATCTTACAAACAGTAACGGAAGAACAATAGGTCTTATGCTTCAGTCTCACTGGTCTCTGTGATCTCAATGCTACCGTCATGCATGGATCTCTATTTACCACTAATTACATTTTTGTCTTGACGGGTGATAAAAGAGTCCCGTTGTATACTATCGTCTCTCTTATAGTAAAATCTTTAGTGTTCGTTTACTATATTTTTTTTTCTATCTTGGTTGAAATAATGCACCAATTTGCATTTTTTTTACATGGTTACTAATGACATAATGCTGAAGCTTGGGGAGAAGTAAAATAAGAGGATTAATATCTACAATTAGTATGTCACCATTGCAACTTTGCAGAGTTATGTCACTTTTCATTTTTCGTGAAAGATTAAACAATTTCTTAAATAGTGGTCATTAGTAGGTGACTTTACAAAAGACAAAAAAGTCAAGTTGATCAATGACATGCAATTCATTATCATGTTGACAGCGATGATGATGTTACACCTCTCATTAACAAACAAAATTTCTAGACTTTCTTCCTTCCAAGTCAATGCCCTTCTTCTCACGACTCATTTGATGTAACAGTATCCTATGAATGATCCGCCATGGCGAAAAGGTAATTTATGTACTTATTTCCACGACATATGAGCTGAAGCGGCTTGCATTTATATTAGATGTGTTGGCTTGTTGTGACATTTCTGTATCCCTTATTCTGAAGCTTTCTCAGAGCAATTTGTTGTGAAGCAAAAGATGCCACAAAGACAATCGAATTGTTGTGGAATGACTATTGTATTGTAAAGTGTTTAATGTTTAATGGGTTTTGCAGAATTGCAAGCTATTTGTGATATCTCTATCCACTGATGGCTTCTTCCAGAAGAAATCTCTCTGCTATTTGCAAGTGTTTTTGTTTTTGAAAGTTTAATACGAATTTGTCTTTTTGTAGTTTCATCCGATTCATGGGAACATTCTCATTCAAGGATATGTTGCGAGTAGACAATTAGCCCTTGGAGAGTATTTGACACGGAGGGTTTATAGAATGAGGTTTTTTAGGAAGGTTACAAAAAATAAAAATCACATACGAAATAAAAATCCATGTAGATGAAAAAAATCATTTCGAAACATAAACCCATGTACATGAACAAAAAATCATATATTAAACAAGTTCAATATTGACTTGTCAATTCATCTTCATCTCGCACTGCACAAAAGAAACCAGACATAATTTAGTTTTATGAATAAATCATACACTGTAACAGTAAGTCAATAACTTTACAATTTACAAGAACCTAAAAATTGATTTTGCAAGTACTTACCAAGTTAAGATATGAAAATGAAGTTGCTAGTATGTCGAAGTTAACCACAATGTTGACTTGCTCGCCTAGTCCTCCTACCAAGTCGTTGGTAACAATATTTATAAATTTTTCGTTTAATCGATTCATAATTCGCTCTAATTTGATTAAAAAAATCAAGATATTTGTGATGATTCAAAGCAAATCACAATACTAATTTTAGAAATATTAATTTTTGTTTTCTGATCCGTAGATCACATACATATTATATAGTAAATTTATAATGATTAACTACCTTAGAGAGGAGCGTGGCACACAAGATTAACCGATTCTAGCAATGACTGGGTTGAAAAATGAGGATTTGATGGTGATCAACAATACGCGAATAAACATACTTTAATTCAGGTGAAACCATGTCAAAGAATATATTAAAGATTGTTAATTATTATTGAACGAAAATGATTTAATATCCGTAAATTTATATTTTCGGAGCAAAGCAAATCATAAAATTTGCTATCGAACGAAACCAGTACAAACCTTCCCATCTAATTATCACTGACGCCATGGAAGCAACACAAAATTGCAACAAAACAACATTGATGTACTAAAATAGTCACAAAACCTAACATATACAAGACAGGTTAATAAGCATATATGATTTATATATGATCTTATACTAAAAACAACAAAAAGTTAATATACATCAGGAGGGTTATCAACCACGCAACTCTTTGCATCCTACGAACAAAATCACAATAAACTCAAGATTTGTCGCCTAATAAGCATTTTCATAGAAAATTGATATGTTTCAACATAATAGTATATCAAACCGATGCTATGGAAGCAAGACAAATACCTATTTGCAAAGATGCCACATGTGATCTTACAGATTTTACTCTTTTCCAATTAAGGTTTCACTTTTTCATCTCTACCAATATCTTTTTACAAAATTTGAGATAAAGAAAAAAGTGATACTCCTTTCAAGTAAATTAGGAATCTTGAAGAATAGGTAGTTTGTTACTCGTTTTTTATTATGTACTTTTAGATAGGTA